ATATGCTGAATTCTTCTTTTTGAATCTGTTAGGTAGAGGTTCAGCTACGGGTAGAGGAGTTTTTCATGCAACCGAACATTTCATGGACAACGAATGTTACATGGAGTTTCTGAGTATGAAACCAGGCATCAAAGACAAAACATTCATTCTGCAAGGTTACGGAAACGTTGGCTCACATACTCACAGGTATTATCACAGAGCAGGGGCCAAATGTATTGGTATAATCGAAATCGATGGATCAATTTTTAATGAGAAGGGTATTGATCCTGCTGCCCTAGAAACGTACAAGTTAGGCCCAGGAAAAGGTAGGATATTGTTCTGGCGGTAGGGCTAATTAGTAGTTTTATTAGCTAGCTTGACTGTTACAAGAACTGTTAAAAGCGTGCTAGTGATGTATGTGTAGTAAAAGCGGGATCCATATTTATTCAGTTAATAACTAATTTATCAAAAAAGTTATCAATTAATGCTTTCATTATTTACATTATGTAAATATCTACTGTTTCATGTGTAAACTAATAAAAATATAAATATAACTGGAATAAGTACAGATCTTTTTATTCATAGACCTTTAAATTCATCTGTCCTTAAAATTTCAGTAACATTTAATGATACAATGCAGTTAGTAAGTTAGTTTCTAAATTGAATTTCAACACAATTATATAAATACCTATCTTGCAATACGTGCACTTATTGTATGAGTCTTGCTTGTTTATGGGCACTTTATCAAAGAAACCACCAAAGACAAATGTAGAGACAGTTGGTAGTCCACATGTAAGGAAATATTATAATGTCAGGAATCAACTAGATCTGGAACACGTAGAAGAAGAAGAAGAAGAAATATAATGCTTAAACAATGAAAACCTTGATTAAATGCGTTTCGTTTGTCTCACCTAAGGGCTGAATTAAAATGTTTCCACAGAAACGGTTTAAAAACACTAAAGTAACCATTTCAACAAAACGTAACAACTGAGTATTTAAAACCAATATAAAATAACTGATGGCCCCTTAAAACGGGTTCCGTTAATTTTAAATCTTCCAATCATTTTGTTTTTTTCAGAATCCGTTGAGTAGATCAATGTTTCCTAGTAATATTTCACTTTCAAATTAAGGTCTTTGGTAAAAATTTTTTTTTGTTACCGGCGAGGTTTAGGAAATGGTTGCTTACGCACCATGCTGATAGCTATTTTTCTAGGTCTCTTGAGTTTTGTGGCTCCCCGATCTCCTAGCTCTACACTGCGGTCATTTATGTTCTATTATGCCCTTAAGAACAAGAATTTTAATTATAATCACTAACTACGTGTGTAATTAAGCCGTTCTCGCTTGACGAATAAATCGTCTTTAAATGATTTTCTCGTAATTTGGCTATTCAAATTTCTTCGAAAACTATTTTTTTACAGCAGCTTCCAGACCGTTCCTGTTTAATCAAATTAAATGTTTGCATCATTTTTCAGTTTCAGTTTCCCAATGTCTAGAAATGCAATTTAACTTGAAATTGAAAACTTCACAAATTCAATGAGAGGAAACTGTAAACTTTCTAAATTATAAATGAGTATTTTTATAAAGCTGTCCTGTCATAAACTTTTTGAAAGGCACCCCGATAGAGTAATGAAGATGTATTCCAATAGTTTTTCAGATCTTAATGAATGTAAGTTTTCGAATGCTGAAAGGATTCTTTTTTTTTAGGTAGTATTGTAGGCTTTCCTGGAGCTAAAAAGTATGACGGCGATTTATTTGAACATGAGTGCGATATTCTTGTACCTGCTGCCAAGGAAAAAGTAATAACAAAAGATAATGCTGGAAAAATCAAAGCAAAATTAGTGGTAGAAGGAGCTAATGGGCCAACAACACCAGCAGCCGATAAAATTTTGATGGAGAAAAAAATTATTGTCATTCCAGATATACTGGCTAATTCAGGAGGTAGGAACATGATTTGTCTAGTTAAAGTAAGTTAAGCATAACTACTACAGCTGAAATCTCGCGAGATGTTTCTTCTAAGACGTTTAATGCAATGTTGGTTTGCTTCTGATGTACCCAATCAACTTCGTTGGATATTCGACTGCGTTTGGATATACAGGGTTATTCACGCTATACGGCACGGAAGTTTGCGGCTAAACCGTTTGATTTTTAAAAGGTATTATTTTACGAATTGTCCGACACCTATTGAGTGTACATTTAAAAAATATTTTCGTAATATACAGGGTGTCCCAAAAGCTCTAAGGTTATCATAGTTACGTTTTTTTAAATGGAATGTTCTGTATATTATTGCATTTTTGGATTCGCTGAACAAAATAAGTGTCTGTTTTAATAAGGTTATAACACCTAAATCTTAAGGTTTTTTAAATAATACGAATTTATTCAAAATCTAATTTTCACGTGTCAAATACTTGCGAATTATTTAAGTTATATAAACGTATTTTTTAGTGAAGTGTAACAAGATATAAGATTTTATATCCCAATGATAATAAACTTACCATCTTATACAGGATGTCCACAAATTTAAACTAATCAAATAAGAACTTTAAGTGGCTCTAACTTGATTAATTTAAATACAACCCCATATTTTTTAACTTACCAGGAAAT